AAAAGTTTGATTGTAATAATCTTCATTGTTACATGTAATCACCATTGCTATTATGATCTTTTTCATACAATCTGTCTATAAAAAATCGCAATGCAATGATTAAAATATTTGTATATGTTTAAATCGATTTTTAAAAGAAATAATTAAAAAAAAATGTCATTCTCTAAACAGTAAATGTCATCTTGAGAATTATATTTCATAAATATCAATTGCACGAATAAAAATAAATCTTAATATAATACATAATCACTCAGTTTTATATTCTACGTGTACAAATGTTTTAATTTACATCGAGATGTCAATTGTCAATTGCCAATCAGCAATGTCAATGCTGATTGGTCGGCGCCCTGATTGGTCAATGTGTAATTCTGATTAACATCTTCGCAAAATCAAAATCAATCTCTCTCTCTCGCTCTCTCTTAAACTTTAAAAAAAATAAAATAAAAGGGTAAAACAAAATCAGAAAGAAAGAGAGGAAAAATTCTGAAGAAAAAGAAGACATCGTCACCAGCAATACTTGTTTTTTTTTTCTGAACCAACAAATAAATTGCATATATGAATAGCAATATTTAAAAAAAAATAACTTCTTAGAAATGCGTTGTGGGTAATGATTTAACGATTATTTTATTTAAGATATCTTTTAAATGATCTAAAATCACAGGCCATATTTAAATATAATAAATGAAAATAAAGTCACCAACCTGTATTTAAGAAAGACTGCACATTACTGTCAGAGACAAAACTACATATACATTTAATTAGATTGAAGTGATAACAATTGTGCTTCACTTCCTTGTTCCAGCTTTCATATAATTCATTTCCTAAGCGTAAGTGTTATATGCTGATTAAAAAGGGAACTTATATTTAAATTGTTTGGTTTTTTTTAATTACACATTTGATAGAGTATAAATGTTTAAAAATAGTCTACGTATGACAAAGAAAAATGGCTATAATCTGTTTAGTTAACTTTACTAAACCTGGTCGATATAATTTTAATCTGACATGCGCTTTGGCGAGCTTATCGTTTTAGTGAGGGTTAATCTTACACTCCATGAGTAATGCTTCTCAAAGTTGTCCTCCCAACATAAATTTTGTACTTTTAAAATCCCTAAAACACGTACTAGCAAAAAACTACGTGAAGGTAACTAGTGGCCAATGGTCTTTCGGTATTTATGAAATAACTGTCCTGGGCTCGGAGTCCATGGTAGATTAAAATTATAAAATGTTTAAATTGCATTTTATGTTTTAATATATTTTTTCTCCTGCGCTTCCACGGAACATATGAATAAATAATTAATATAAGACCAACTGAATTACACACATTAAAAAGGAGTCGAAGGTTCAAGTTTCGGATGAGGCGCAGTTGGTTATACAAGTGACCCGCCGAAAATCTTATGTGTACTCAGATGACTTTAACAAGCTACTGGCTCTTTGTTCAAATCACAAGACCTCTGTGAAATGTTTTGAGAATCATATATATATGCTAATATGTATTCACAATTTCAAAACCCATCATTTTTTTTCTGTTCTCATTTAAAAAAAATACTTGTATGTTTGGATATTTTTCCCCAACATATCGCAATAAGCAAAGTACTGAACAAAGCGCCAGTGTTGCTGCTTTAAATTAGTACTCAAGGGAAGTATTCTTATCATAAAATTCAGTGTACACGTCCATTTTCTATGTTTAAGATTACAACAGTGGTGTATCTTCCTTCTTTAAAGATTTCAGTAAGTTAAAAAAAGTTGATTTTCCCTTTCAATTGTTTAATGAAATAATATAATTTCGCATTTATTTTTTTTTTTTTAACAATGAGTCATATATACGTATTCTAACAGGGAGATAAACATAAACGTTTCTAAATTTTCTTCTGGTTTTTCTCATCAGAACTAGGTCGCAAGTATTTAAATTTTAAGCATATCGGACCTCCTTCAGACATTTTTTTCTGCTTTTAATCTGTGATTGCTTCGCAAAGAGTGCAAGTATTTACTGCAAATAGTGACATCTTTCCCGTTTTTTTTTTTCTCTAATTCTGTCTACAATGAAGTTTGGGTTATCTGCATAAGTGGATCTTGTATTCCTGTACATGCATGCCCGTTATAGCGCGTAATTTTTAGGGTTTTTTTTTTTTTTATTTAATATTTCATACAGAATGATATACATGTATATACAGATATATAGACATAAGAGTCGCTCAAATGTATTAAAGAAATGTCCTTTGGAATGTTATATCTGTGCTCTTTTTTCCCAAGTGTTTACTGTCTTCCTCTATCCTAGTATGTATTATCATCATCAGCTAAATATAAGCAGATGTCCTATATCTATACTTATAAATTAATAAATTTTGCAAATACACTCCGAAATGGGTGCACCATAGTTCTTACTAACTCCTCTATGAATACACTAGATACAAGATGATGTCCGTAAACTATATTCAGATTTCACTCGATTAGTAAGTGTCGTACGTTAAATTAAAAGTCTACTTTCATTTTCTATAAAGAACCATGAAATAGCAATAACGTGAGTACGGTGGCGGTTCCGGTCGGCGGATCTAAGTTACTGGCAATTTTTAATGAAACTGACAACAAGTAATCGTTTATTTATTTCATAAAACGTCATCACCGAATTATTCAACCAAAACTTCATTTAAATGATATAAAAGAAATAAGTTGTGATAACCTATTAAAAAGGGAAATATGCAAATTACTTTCGACATTCACTGATCTTACTATTGACGGAAACTTCTAGAACATCGTATAGCATCGAGCCCGATGTTAAGCAGAAAAATGAGGCGATTATAGCCTCGAACATTAAAAAAGCTTTTGTGTGAATGGTCATTGAAATAATGGTAAATCAGTGGTAACACTATAAGGTGTGAATATATTTATATATATTGAAAGACTATTAGTAGGTTTTCATAATTTATCGGTAAAATTTGTATATTCCTCACTGAGAGTATAGCGGCAACGAACCCGAAGTACAAAGTGTACTTCGTAATAAATTTGCTTACATGAAAAGAGAAAATTAATGAATAAGGTATTCTTCAAATACAATTAAAGCTGTTAAATTTTTGTGCTTTAATCAATACATTTCAGGTTTTATTTTTCTGAATACAGTCTTTTGTATCAAATACTCGGCCATAGAGCGTTAAAAACTAATGTTTACCCCCAAAAATTAGTCCTTAAAATGTGCATATTCGCTGCTTTTATCCTTGACGGAAATGAAATAAGAGCACCTGAGGTACAATATCCATAACATAGTATAACAGGTTTCACAATAAACGTCAATTAATGAAATTGATTTTTTTTTCTTCAAGTTTACAAGGGGGGGGGGGGTGGTAATGTACATCTACTTCTGCTTTAAAGGTAAATGCGGGATTTTGTACAAAGTATTTCTAAATTCCTGCTATAAGCCTGTTGGTTGAATAGAAACTACAATATTTGATTGGAATTTTTCTGTCGGTAGTGGTTCAAATTTAATTCCCCGCACTTGCGCGGGATTTCATCTAGTATATATATCAAAAAAAAAAAAAAAATAAAATAAAAGTACTTATTGTCATCCTTTTCTTTAAGTTGACAATCTCATTTTTCACATTCTGTGTAAATCAAAAGCCAGTTTTTCCATTTTACGGAGTCTTTTTTGGTCTCCTAGAATAGTTTTAAGTTCATATATACTAATATATTAATGTTGTAGATGTTATGTGTACTACACCACTGGTATCAAACGACGCACAGCAGCCAACAGTTTTTGCTCGTACCTTGCACAGGTACTTCTAAAGAGTTATTGGGGTTACAAGTGCACTCAAAGGGTATCCACAGAAAATACTTGTACCTCTTTGATGATACCTGGCGCGATTGAATTCTTGCCCTCAACTAAACTTTATCATTTTAGTGTGTTGAGATTCTATTTGTGTCATCTGGAGACAAATGTTCTTCAGTATGTCTTCTTATGGGTTATTTATTTATCGGCCATCTAGAGAAACACAGAATCATCAACAGCTCCATCAACCTCTTTTATAGAGACTGTCAGAATATCTACGTTCCTGTATGTTAACGCAACTTCCAAGGACTGACAATGCCGATGCCTGGGATAATATTCCAGTCGCAGATTGCAAAGATTTTTGCAACACCAAAGAGACGCAGTTGATTGTATATTTATCTTCAATATTCAGACCGATCATGGTATCCTAGTGGTACATGTAGGACTTTCGCTTCGTGATCGGAACGCCAGGGTTCAAATCTCGTTCGCCTCGAGCTCGCCGCGTCCAACGTAAGACGTAAAGATAAGTATAGACTGTTCTTTCGCCAAGCGCATTAGAAGTAAAAGGCACGGGTCTTTCGGATGAGACCTTTAAAACCTAGGTCCTTTGTCATAATAGGCGTTAGCACGATAAAGAACCCTCACTGCTAAATGGTCCTGAGAGCCGAGTCTTAATTTGAAGTCATTCACCGGTATATCATTGTAGAATGCAAGGCATCTGACATCAGAATTTTAATTTTTCTCACAGGCACACATGCAGACATGTTCTTGTCATAAGGAATATTATCTATTTCGTGTTTGACATTATAAAAGTAGAGTAGTACCCTTTTTTAAATCGTAACATTTTATTTAAGGTCCGCATACGTTGAAAAAAAAAATACATGTAGTTTACTTAAATATAATTAAATGTACTATACGTTTATCTGTATCATATCATATGGATTCTTACAGGAATAAAACTTCACCTGTATTTATGAAAATAATATATTGTGGAAAAATTACGCTCAGCTTAACCTGAGTTTACATAGGGTAAATAATGTAGATGACAGGAATTCAAAGTAATCAAACTTTTTTTTTTTTTTTTTTTTTTTGATCAATTCTTAAATTATAAATTATTTGAAAATTTCCCTGGAACATGAATTTAAGCTATATTTTACAAACAACATTAAATATATTAAAGCTAGTATATATAAATAACATGACATATATAAGTAACAAAGACGTTTTTTTTTCTCAAGTTTTATGACACCCTGTCAGAATCTAGACCTCTACTCATCATATGCAATTCTCTTTTCCGAACTCCCTATTCAGTGATTCGGCATAACCGTAGTTGTTTTGTCCCGCACTATTCTCGGAATGTCCGTAATCTGGCTCAATATATTTATTTGTGTGATCATATGTATTTTCCAGATCCTGGTATTCCTTGTGGTTTGTGACATCATAATCAGAATATCCACGGTCCTTCGCTGAAGATGTGTGGGAGTATGTGTCTTCTTTGATTTTTCTTCTTGACATATTGTTTCCCAAATGATCATACTCTCCTTCTTCTGTTTCATTGTATGGACTTTCTTTTTCAAGACTTTTATCAATGTCTGTTATGGATGGGGTTTGTCGGGGTTTGAGGACAAAGTATCCATTGTCGGGGACTTTGTCAATTTCATTGTAACAATGATCAATATCTTCTGTAGGTGAGTTTTTCTTCTGAAACTCTGAATTATAACTTTTCTGGTCGTTCTGTCGACATCTCCTGCTAAAACAATTAATGGATTGTAAGACTAATCACACTTCTCCAAAATAAATAATTTTAAAAAATGTAAACAAATACTTATGTTTGTATGATATTATAAATAAAATATTACATAAATCAATATACCATTATATTTGTCCCAAATTTGTAAGAATTCCGTCCCCTTATTCGAATAAAGATTTGGGCAAAATTAAAACGAATTAAAGATTTGTGTGGCTGTACATTTTGTCGTTCTGTACGTATCATCACAGGCAACAATATGCACCTATCCTAACGGCGCATTTGATCGCCCACCGGTGCCTATTGACACCGACGATAAAATGTGCAGAGATGAATCTGTTTTGTTCCTGTAGAATGGGTGACAAATTGAATCTCATATACTGGCATGTGCATTGTATTTTGTTCGGCGACGATTTATGCTGCAAACATATTTTGTGGCCACAAATATTGTAAAAAAAAGAATGTTTCAATGGAGAAATAGAGAGAAAGGGAGATTCATGGTATTTTAATGAATTCATATCAATCAAGTTAATTGCATCGTTTTCCTTGAAACTTGTATTTAAAATATTAGATTTTATTGCAGCTGATTTATTTGAGTCTAAGTTGTTTGTTTGTTTTATCAATAAATAACATGCAATTGCATATTTAAAAATAAAATCCGATTTAAAAACTTTTTTTTTGAAAATCACGTTTGTATCAATATAAACCTTATGTACAAAGTATCGCACTTCATGATATATACCTTTATGATGTGATTTATACACCAAATTACATTCACAGAACTTCAGAAATATAGCTGTTGGGCGACAATATGCGGATTTGGGATATACACATATTCTAACCGGCCGCAATATGTATTGCATAATCTTTCAGTGGGCGAAATACATGTAATATTAATGGACGACAATATGTGCTGTTAAGTTCCTTGCATATTGTTTCCGACAAATTGTACAGGAAATAAATATGTAGTTAAATATCCTCTTGTAGTTTAGATTGAAAATTATTAACTTAATGGGCGTCGTTGCTAGGATTAAATCACATCAAAAAGCCAAAGTTTTCCATAAGGAAAAAATAATTTATCGTCTCAAGAACAGATCTAGATGGGAATCAACTACAAAAGAATCTTTCTATTGAGCAGATGAAACACAATGATGATTAGCTATGATATAGGTGATGATGAACTTTTCTATCGTCATTTTTCCCTATTCATGTAGCAATATACCATTATAACCTACATTTGGAGCTTTTGTCTCCAGTTAATTTGATAATATTCAAGAATTTGTTCTTCATGCGAACAATTTCTAATACGATGAAGACAAGCAAGTATAGCTTTTTTCAAACGCTTCCCTTCTTTAGCAACAGCCTTAAATAGTAAACTGATATTCATCTACATTTATCAGGCCGTACAATTTTTGTGTGGTTCTTGGCTTTATATTTTGTAATCTGATTTTTTTCGAACATTAGCCCTACCATAGAAAAAAAACAGTGCAAAAACAAAATTAGAAAAAAAAAAAACGAATTAACACGAACTGTAATGTCTGTTAACCATGGAAATTAAAAAAAAAACCTTTTAATAGTCGATATAAAAATTGAAATTGTCTCCCTTGCCTTGAACAGTATTTCAACCAATAAAACAATTGAAAAATTATATTATTTAAGCAATTTTTAACAATCACAAGAGATAGGAAGTGCATACTTAAACGACTGTAAAATATTTCAACCCTGTATACCTTCGTCCATGGGATGGTAATAAGTTATCTACTATCTTGTTTAAAGTTTTCCTTTTGCAAATTCTATGTTTCAATCAATGGTCTTGTTTGCACATACAACATGTCATAGGCTGTGAAATTGTGGACTAATGCCTTTCGTAGAAATTGACAGGCCATCATTTTCATACTGAATTGACAATAGATTTTCTCAGTTAACACAATCACGACAAAAGGCACACAGTGAATGTGGCAGGTCTTCAGGGGATGCTTACACCTTCATCTGTTCCAATCTCTGAAGTCCCCTCTGCTTATAAATTGTGTTGTATTGTTTGATTGGACTTTTGATTCGGATTTGGACTGTAGCATTCTGTTTTTATTTATTTAAGTATATATATATATATATATATATATATATAGAGAGAGAGAGAGAGAGAGAGAGAGAGAGAGAGAGAGAGAGATTGCAAAGTAACCACTAAACCTTATGATCAACTTATCTAGTGGCTTCCCTTATGTAGCAATATTCTGTACTACTGTCAACTTGATATATATTGGGCGTATGTCTCTTTGTTAATTCCGCGCAAAAAAGCCTGTTCTCTGTACGATCAATTTCTAAAAAAGGGTCAGGTTTCTGGCAAAGAAGTTAATACAACGGAATCAATAATCTCGATTATTGTTAACATTTCACAAATTCTATATTGAATACAATGAATTTGCATTTAAAGTCTGTCGTTATGTTGAATGTTGTCCGACTCTTTCAAACAATTTGTGAGGCACTATTTTTATAATGAATTGTTTACTGATTTCTCCAGTCATGACAAGGGGCATAAGCCTGTCGTGACCGGCCAACAGGGGACGCTTACTTCTCCATTGCCTAACCTAACCTATCCTCTTCATGCCCATAGCACATGAGGTCCCTACACACTGCATCCACCTGCCTCTGTCTCTGACTGCTGCTCATATTCTTACTTAGCTGCAATCGTTCCTGTTCATTAGTTGTTTTTGGCCAGCCTACAACCATCCTTCCTTCTGGGTGTCATATTTGTGCGGTGGTATAAATCCTGGTGTTCTCCATCCTTAGTACATGGCCAATCAAATTCAGTTCCTGTGAGTTATCATTTCACTTGCTCATTTTAGTTTTGTTCTACGATGAAGTTTGATATTTTTTGATATATTTGATAATTTATCTTGCCATTTTCCTCTCCCTACATTTTTCAGGATCTATTCTGGAAGGTTTCGATTCTTTCTTTCCTTCGCTCTGTTGTTTTTCCATGTTTCACTTCAATACATGAGAATCGATAGGACCACGCTGTAAAATAACTTAATTTTGATTCGAATAGAATTTTCCCCCATCTATTGCCTTCCCCATCTCTGCCTTCTAAATAGAGATTTAACTTATCCCAGTCTGTAGGTAATGTCCTGGTCAGATCCTACCTTTGTTGTTATCACACCTTCAAGGTGAATGGAGAGAACTATCATAGACATTTATGTCTCTGTTCAATCCATTTCGCAGCTAGGTTAAGGACTCCCATATCTACGTCAGCCTATGCAGAGGTTTGGGAGAGCTATTATGACGTCACGTTAAAACAATACAAATGAATCTCGATGAATAAATACTATAATGTTCTTTTTAAAACACACGAAATACTTTCGTTTCTCATAAATGTTATAAAAATAAATGGATGTGCAACTTATCTTGCCGTAATAGCACTTAGCGTATGCAGAATGAAAGCCAGCTTGATCTCGCTGTACTTACTGAGATGACGTCATTTCTTAGTTTGACACGCAGTTTCTCTGTATTTGAGGCGTGGATCAAACTTTTATCGTGGCTTGTAAAGATAAAAATAAATACGAAACATGCGTAGTCAGACAAAAAGAGAGACATATTCTGAAATATATTAATCCACATTTTATTGTCAAACTAAATTGATAATGTGTAGACTTTATATATAGCCGCATGGAGCACATTTGTACAGTAACGTGCTAGAATGAGGGGTCAAGCCCCCCGAAAATATTAAAAGTTCAACGATATCCGTTTCATTATAAATTCTGAATTTTTAAACACGTGTAGCCATTATTCCTACTGTTCTGAAAAGTGCTGGGAGCTGGTTGTACATTGTTTATTTATTCCGTAATCTAACATTATTCCAATGCGTATTACATTTTTGTCTGGGGTTTATAGAAAGACGGCTAAATTTTAAACAATTCTCAAGCATGAATAAGTTGCTCCCAGCACTTTTCGGGTTAAGGATTTTGTCTCAAAGAAAACAAAATAAATTTTATAGCGGAAGAATGTCCGTATATCGTTGAACTTTTACGATCTTTGTAGTAGTACATATATGGTCCAATTTTAAACCTGTCACGTGACAAACAGCTGATGTAAGCGATGTCACTTTGGCTGAACTCAGCAGAGACCCGATACATACAAATGCAATCACCACAATTCACATTTACCAAAACTACTGCTGTTAAAAGAAATATTAAAAATTGTATTCATTTTCCCTGAATATATAGATGCGTATATTTCATGGGCGTCCTTAACTTAGCTGCGTTCATTGATTTGAATGAAATATATTTTAAACCAAGGTAAGCGTTTCTACGTCCTCTAGGTCTCAATGCTTTGGTAATTGTATTCTTAATGGGTTTTTTCTGCGACCAATTCGGCTTGCATCCGTCATGTCGTCTTTGTGTCTAATGTTAGATGTCCTCAAATTTTGAAGAAAGTATAGCAAGGTTGTCTGCGAAGTCTCAATCCAATCTCAGACCGATGTATTCAGAAGTCTGTCTTTGCTCTGCTAATAATTTGTTTCGTCTGATTGGACATCTAAGCATGATTTCTTTTAGTTATCATCATATTCATTTAATTTAAATTCTTAAACGTAATTTAATAATTCTTAAGGGTGGTAGCGGGATGAAAAATTACAAGATACACATACCGAATATATATCACTACTCCAACAGCCGTAGCACCGGAAATAATCAATACTAATGCAATGGGTATTACTATAGTTGACACAGGTGTGTTGTGTTCGTGGGCTCCAGCAATTCCATGCATAATTGGTTTTATAATATCTTGCGGCGTGCTTGTGTTATTCTTTCGTGTAATGTTGCTCCGTGGTGTAGAAGTTTTAGAATGCGTTGTCGAGGGATACGGCTTTTTGTTTGTTGGATAGGTTATAGTTGATAGACTTGTCTAAAAAAGCATAGAATAAGATAAAGGAAATTATATATAATGCTATTTCAGTTAAAATTAGTTTGATTTATGCACTTACAGCGCAGTGAAAATTTGTTACTCATACTAAAACGTCAAAGGGATTGAATTTTGGATTAAGCCAATACACTTAAAATAAGATGTCTATTGTGAGATGTTTACTCTTCTCTAAGTCTTTGGTACAGACAGATAGTTTTTTTTTCCTATCATGTCATGTAATTTAGGAATAACAATTACTCGAACGTTTATTTCCTTTAATAATGCCAGGTCAACTTCGGCTGGGAATTGCTGGGAATTGAAATCAGAAAAATGTACCTAATATTTATGACTCTACCACTTTACCACTGTACCATGTAATGCGAAAAAGAGGGTCTTAACATCTTTTTTTATCCATCTATGATTTACTTAAATTAGAGCTGTTTATATATAGACAAATGTTGAAAAACCTATTATGTACTTTTTTTGTTAGATTTAATGGAATAAGTGTATAAAGATTGGACGTAAAAACGTAAATACTTGTCAATCTTGGTAACATTTGATTAATTAACATTAACATTCAAATTTTAGCCTATTGCTTTATTAACGTCTATGTACTTGAACAACGTTCTCAAAACGTTAAAGTGCGAATTAGTCTGCAATTTTCAAGTGAATCTAGTTCATTACAGACCGCATTAATTATGACATCCTTCCCAGAAGTGTAAAATGCAAGAAGCAAATGAAGCAAGAAGCAACCCATTTCTACGAAAGCCCAGAAAGCTCATTCGAGATTCGAGTTTCGAAATACGAGATTCGAAATTCGAGTTTCGAGATTCAAGATCTAAACTAGCCAATCAAAAAGCGGATTCAATATTTGATTACTGCCCTTTATTATGTATTTACTATCAAGAATTCACTGAATATATTTATAACAAATGGGTCATTTGCTCAAATAATGATACAAGAAAAAATGTTATATGTATCAAAACAAAATAAAAATGACTTTTGGGTAACGTTTTGAAAGATATATATATAAAATCTTATTTTCCTCATTAAACAAAACAATAGATACATCTATGAAATATAATATGGTCTTGAAATTAGAAATTAGTAGGTAGATGAAATATATGGAGATAACGAACAGTATTCAAGCTCAAAAGTCCATTAAACAATACAAAATAGGAGCAGAGCAAACACGGACCTCCAAACATCAGAAGTGGGATCAGGTGCCATGGAGGAGTGAGCATCCCCTGCCGACCGGTCACACCCGCCGTGTGCTCCTTGTCATGACCGGGAAAAAACGGAAAAATCCGTCGACAATTCAGTGTGACCTAACAATTAGTATGAAAAACGTCAGTCAGCAATTGACTCAATGATAAATTGTATAAATAAATTGTATAGATAAATTATTTAATTAGCACATGGATGAGGGAAAAAAATTATTATTGATATGAAATACTAAGGATCGTCTTTACACTGAACAGTAATTTAATTAAGGATACATTTCATTACTTTTAAGAGTGCATTTGTGCAGTTAGACTGATCTACTATTTGATATGGAATAAAATAAATTCCAGTATGTATTGTACATAATAATAATAATTAATCAATTCAAGTATTCAAAGCCTTAGACTAAGATAAGTAATTGAAAACTTAATTTTTATGTATTTCTCCTATTGCGCATCATTGCCGAATTGCGGACAGGCAAGGAGGGAGTCGCCCCTCTCAATGGGAGGGGGGGGGGTCGGAGGACAACTCTCTGCAATTTTGGAGACATCTATCATTGTCATTTTTCCAGTGAATATAATTATAAATCATTTAAACATATTTTTATGATACAGATATTAAAATCTTCATGACCACTCTTAATAAAATTGAAAAATTATAAAATCCTTACACAGTGCTTGGAAATAATGGAAACTTCTTTACTTAATAATCTAAATATAATTTTTAAATGTCTTATGTATGACTTCCTACTAACTCAAACATATTTCCTAATTTCTACTCCCTGTTCTAATCGTAGACTCCTGTTGCTATCATTTTTTAATATTCTGATATCAACTTCAAGGTAACATTTCAATTTTAGATTTAACAAGCTATAAAAATTAAAAGTTTTGTTTACTGTAAAAATTGGATAGACATAAAAGTATGGATTGCTAAAAATACTTTTATTGCATTTGATGAAAAATATTCTAGTAACTGGTAAAGAAATAAGATTTATGATTTAACTTTTCTCGACTTTTCAACCGAACACATGTATAAAACGCATTCCAAAATCAAAACAGAATTTTTTTTTTTCTGTTTTAGGCATTTTGCCCTCAGGTATTGACAAAATCTAACAAAAAAAACACAGTTTTGTAAGATATTTATTCATAAGATTGTGAAAAATCAGCATTTTTCTAATGGATACACGATCTAGTGTCACAAATAAACTGAAATATAAATATTTGGAGGACCTATTGACAATTTAGCAAGACTTTACGGGGTAAATTTCCCCCGAAAGAAAATCACTGATTCACATCTTAAATATAGCAAAAACATACAGGGTAAATTTCCTCTCAAAAATGACATTGAAACAGTACCTAAAGTAATTCAAAAGAAAAGCAACAATCTTTTAGATAGCAAGACTTTACGAGGTAAATTTCCCCCAAAGAATATCACTGATACAGTTTTCACTACTCTTATAAAAAGCGAACATTACACTTTGAAAATAGCAGAACTCTACAGGATAAATTTCCTCTCAAAAATATGACATTGATTCAGTTTATGTATGTGTTTGAAAGCAAAAGCAACCATCTTGATGATAGCAAGACTTTACGGGGTAAATTTCCTCC